GTGAACTGCCAGCCTCTGAGCCAGCCAGACTACCTGTCTCATCACAGTCATCTAAATCTAATGGATAAGGGATCTGTTTAATGAAAAAGCATTACTGTACAATTTGGGGAAATAAACTCATCTCCTCCGGATTTAAATAAACTAGCGTCACCTTTCTCTCGCTCTCTGAACTGCGGAGAAACTTCGTAGCATGTTTAATAACCCCAAAGAGAGGTAGGAAGTTGGTTTATTTCCAGAAATGGCATATGCTGTACTAGGAACCACATTAAGCACAACCACTGATATAAACTAGTTACTTACCACCAGCCTTCCATGCTGGTCGTAACTTTAGCTTCTGTCCAAAAGCATCAAAAACATGGCATTCGTTAAAATGTATGCTATGTTGTGTGGGCAGGTGTTTCTGCATGTTGGATGTATTTCCTCCCGCGGATGTAATTGCCACTTTACAATTATTGCAAAGCTCCTTGTTGCCATCTTTCTCTTCCTTTAAATGAAGCCAAACTTTCGATCGCTTTGACCACTTTTGTTTTGCTTTTCTAGACTTACACCTGGTCACGTCATACTTGCTTACTGAATGCCGTGTGCGTAACTTGCGTGAAAATTGTTACGTAAGTTGTGCTGCCCAGCGCTAGGCTCTGGTGCGGCCTGGAATCGATAAGAGAATCGTTAAGCGAGCTGCCAAACGGTGCCATGGAATTGGAACTTACAGAAACGTGTGTTTCAATTCCAATTTTCGATTCCCATCCCTACTGCTGCTAGCCAAGGGGATGGGTTAAATGCAGCGGTAAATTTCTCCAATGTGAGATAAAAAGTCAAAGTCAATAAAAAGTTCAATTATTAATTTGTCAGGTATGGGAGCACTGTTTTGCTTTTTAAAACATGTTGATATGATCCTGCAGTGTTTAATATCTGTTTCATTTTGTCTCAATAAACCAAAAGCAATCTTTCCTTATTTGGGTGGTTTACTTTGCATCTTGCCTGTTTTGAGAGAGAATTTTTGCGCACCTTTATTAGCATTACAACTTTATTCAGACTCTCTTCAATTCAATTCAGTTTATTTATATGGCACTGGTTCACAACGCATGGCACTTTACAGAGACAATTCAACCAGATCATACATTCAGATTGTTTTCTAAGGAAAACCAGTTGATTGCATCGACTCGTTGGTTCATCAGCAACCCTTCACACCAAGCGTGCATGTAGCATGCTTGGCCCCATGTTAACCATCTAGAAAAGTTCACTTTCTATTTTCAGGTCCTGACTAAATTCCGTAAAAGTTTACCATCACAGAGGAACAAAGTCATTTACGGAATGAC